TATTTTTTAAATAATTCTGGTGTCCAGGTTGTACTAGTCTCATATCAGTAGTTAGGGATGTTCACTCTTTTTCTATTCACTTAAAAAATTTGTTTAGGCTCTTGAAAGAAATTGAAGAAGACATAAAAAGATGGAAGAGCATTCCGTGCTCATGGATCGGAAGAATAAACATTGTTAAAATGTCTATACTGCCTAGAGCCATCTATACTTTCAGTGCCATCCCGATCAAAATTCCACCGGCATTTTGCAAAGTGCTGGAACAAACAATTCTAAAATTTGTATGGAACCAGAAGAGATCCCAAATTGCTAAGCAAATGTTGAAAAAGAAAAACAAAACCGGGGGCATCACATTGCCTGATTTCAAGCTTTACTACAAAGCTGTAATCACCAAGACAGCATGGTACTGGCACAAAAACAGTCACATAGACCAGTAGAAGAGAGTAGAGAGTCCAGATATGGACCCGCAACTCTATGGTCCAATAATCTTCGACAAAGCAGAAAAAAAAGTCCATTGGAAAAAAGACAATCTCTTCAATAAATGGTACTGGGAAAATTGGACAGCTATATATAGAAGAATGAAACTCGACCATTCTCTTACACCATACACAAAGATAAACTCGGAATGGATAAAAGACCTCAACGTGAGACAGGAATCCATCAGAATCCTAGAGGAGAACATAGGCAGTCACCTCTTCGACACCGGCCACAGCAACTTCTTTCAAGATATGCCTCCAACGGCACAGGAAACAAAGGGGAAAATGAACTTTTGGGACTTCATCAAGATCAAAAGCTTCTGCAGAGCAAAGGAAACAGTCAACAAAACAAAGAGGCAACCCATGGAATGGGACAAGATATTCGCAAATGACAATACAGACGAAGGGCTGACATCCAAGAGCTATAAAGAACTCCTCAAATGCTCAAAAAACAGATAATCACGTCAAAAAATGGGCAGAAGACATGAACAGACACTTCTCCAAAGAAGACATACAAATGGTTAACAGACACATGAAATAATGTTCATCATCATTAGCCATCAGGGAAATTCAAATCAAAACCACATTGAGATACCACCTTATACCAGTTAGAATGGCAAAAATTGACAAAGAGAGGTTGTGGAGAGGTTGTGGAGAAAGGGGAACCCTCTTACACTGTTGGTGGGAATGCAAGTTGGTGCAGCCACTCTGGAAAACAGTGTGGAGATTCCTTAAGAAATTAAAAATAGAGCTTCCCTATTACCCTGCAATTGCACTACTGGGTATTTACCCCAAAGATACAGATGTAGTGAAAAGAAGGGCCATCTGTACCCCAATGTTCATAGCAGCAATGGCCACAGTCACCAAACTGTGGAAAGATGTCCTTCAACGGACGAACAGATAAGGAAGATGTGGTCCATATACAATGGAGTGTTATGCCTCCATCAGAAAGGATGAATACCCAATTTTTGTATCAATGTGGATGGGGCTGGAAAAGACTCTGCTAAGTGAAATAAGTCAAGCAGAGAGAGTCAATCATATGGTTTCACTTACTAGTGGAGCATGAGTAACACAGAGGACAATGGGAGCTGGAGAGGAGAAGTGAGTGGGGAGAGATCAGAGGGGGAGACAAACCACGAGAGACTGTGGACTCTCAGAAATACACTGAGGGTTTTGGAGGGGACAGGAGTGGGGAGGTTGGGTGATCCTGGTGGTGAATATTAAGGAGGGCGCGTATTGCATGGAGCACTGGGTGTGGTGCATAAACAATGAATCTTGGAACACTGGAAAAATAAAATAAAGTTTAAATATTAAAAAAAAAGACTTTGTTTAGGGTTAGAATGATCTTTCATTATATTCTAGGTAAAATACAACTACTACAATCAGTGATATGAGGCAAGACAAACTGGTTTTCACACCTCACACTTCCTGCTCCGGGCAGGCTTCCTTGAGTTTGACGATGCTATGCATCACTGAGGAAATACTCTTTGAGCCATTTATCAGGTGACACAAAGCTGCCAGGTTTGAGAGGACTCAGAGGAGGGAGATTCAGACCCACGCTGCAGTACCAGAAGCCCGACAACTTGGACTGAGAGACGCAAGACCCCACGGTGCTGGTGTCTGCAGTGGGCAGACATGCCGTGCGGAGTCCCCAGAAAGCCCGCAGAGAAAGGTCAACACAAACACCTACAATTCTGGAGCAAGGCCATGTCATTGGCTGAAGACCTCACCCATGGGAGGGTCCGCTCCTGGCTACTGGGCCCTGGTGGAGACCGCGTCTGACCATGAGACAACTGTGTCCACGGCTCTGCTGCTTGTCCTTAGGAGTGTGTGTAGCAGGCCTGCCAACAATCTGGTGTTATGGTGGAACCGCTGCATCCAGGGCCAAACCCAAGCACATCCAGAGGACAGAGTCACATGACAGGTGGCCCAGTGCCCCAGGCCTCTCACCTTTGCTGCACCTGTCTTCCTTAGCTCACTCCTACCCCAACATATCATGAGAAGATCGCTAAAGCCGGGAGAAGAAACTCAAACCCAATCTCCGAAGCAGTACCTCAATACACTGGGGCAGCCTCACTAGAACCCCACCCAGAGGCGACCAGAAGGACAGTGGCAAGGCAGAGTTCCTGGCGGGGAACCTGATCAGCCACGGCCCGGAAGGACAAAGAAGCTGCCTGTGGTACTGACTACAAGACCGCAGGCAAGAGCTAAAGCTTAGCCACGGCTCCGGAGGTAACGGAAGTTGAGGAAAAGCATCCAGATGGGCCCAGCCAACCCTTGCATTACACTTCGGTGCCCACCCACAGCTGCAGGGTCACCAAAAACCAGGCCTTGAGGTGGCTGACCCACGAGATGACGGCCAGCCTCTATCCTCACCAGCAGATCTGTGAGTGGAGTGACCTTGACGGCTGAGATGAAAGCTGTGCCTGAGCTCAGGAGGTGGGCTCCCTCTCAGCAAAGCTGACCCAGCCACAGCCCCACCTAACACCCAGCCTGCTACTCGCGGAAGTCAAGGAGTCCTCTACAGCGCACCATGCTTTAGGCTGCCAACCAGCCACTTGGTGATAATTGGCTTACATGGGAACCCTTTCAGCTGGAAGTGGCAGTGGTTTGACTCACCTGCGATCACTCACACTCTGGGTGTGGGTCTGTCTTTGCTGAGGGAATACCTTGGCCTGCACCAGCATCGAATTTACCCAACTGGGTACCATGTAACATCCGCTCAGAGCACGCACAGGCAGGTACACAGGAGCCGGCGACACAGGGTCTAGGGGCGTACCCCAGTCCACATCACTCAGGAGGTGGGAACCTCCTGAAACGCTGCAAGAGCCTCCTAAAGGCCCAGATTAAATGCCAGCTCAGTGAACTGCCTCATGGGGCTGGGATACGTCCCTCAAGGTGAGCAGACAGACAAGAGATGGTGCTGGTGTCCCAGTGTTGCACAGGCCCGGAAAGCAAGAGGGGGTAGCAGGGGTGGCCCCCTCCCTACCCTCCAGCAGGCCAGCTCAGACTGCGTTCTCATCAACTCTGTAAGTTTCGGTTTGGCCAATCTAGAGGTCCTGGATCAAGGGGTCATGAAGTGTTCCACTGTGGAATGCTGTCATGGTGGCTCCCTTGTCACTTGCTGCCTCTCATGCCATAAGACCAGCAGGCCGAGCAGAGCTTCCCGGCTGGCCAGGGTATTTGATGCTGGTCACTGAGAAGGGCAGAGCTACCACCACACAGGGCAGGAAGAAGTCTGTCTGGAAATCAGGGGGTTCACCAGGGCCTTTCCAGATGCTCTATGACCAGTCTCAATGACGACCGGCATACTATGTCAGCCAGAACCACACAAGTGTGACGAGCTGGGGCTTGGGCCACACAGGGTGACACTGTAGGCTCCCTGATCCGGCCCAGCAACCCGCGCCACGGCAGGCTGGCCACCAGTCAGGCGACCCCAAGAGAGGGACACGAAGAACATGTGCGTGAGCCTCCCCTGGACTCAGACCAGCTCCAGGTGTTCCCGACCCCCTGCCCCAGCCACCCTGAAGAACAAGGGAAGTGAACCCGGTGTGAGATGTGCGCAGAGCTGAGAGGGGCTGGGATCACAGCAGTCAGTCAGGCACTCCCATCTAGCCCTGTCACCATGCAGACTGGTACTCCTTCTTCCCCAGGGCTGCCAGAGCCTCCACATGGGGTGCACTCAGGAGGGCTGGAGGCATCTGACCACTGAACTCCAGGTGCGGCCCATAGCTGTGGACTGACCAGTGCAGAGGCAAGAGCTCTGAGCCATGGCCCCCTTGTCTCTGGGCCCCCTGGGGGACGAACAAAACCCACCCGACACTGGGCTCCAGATCCAACACTCCTGATGCTTTTCGCTGACCACCCATTTCCACAAACCCCGCTCGCACGGTTTTGCCTGGGAGCGCCTCCTAGAACGACTTGTACAAGAGCCCCACTTCCGTGCCTGCTCCTGGAGAACCCAGTCTAAGACAGAGAGGAGATGTTTTGCCATTTAATTCTAACTTCATGCCTGAATTCAGATTCTGTGACATTTGTTGAGACAAGTTTATGTTGTAGCATTTGGTCAGTTTTCGCCCATAATCCGTGTATGATATGGACAAGTAATCTCATTTTATTTACACACACACACACGCACACACACGTAAAACAAACCTGATATTCTAAAACAGTCTAAATTTACTTCATGTAATTTGGTGCCAAGTTGTTCGATTTCTTAGACACACGCAGATTTAAAAGATTCTTGTCTTCCAGGTCAGTCATTACTGATGGAGCTCCTAGGTGACTCTCAGACCACCAGACCAGAAGACCTTTTGGAAACCACTTTCTTATCCAAGAAAATGCATTTCCCAAGATAATACCCAACCCCCAACTCCACCTCTGGAGAGAAGCCTCCTTCTTTCCAGGGGCTCCTGGGGCAAGAGAGAGGGGTCCTAACTCTCAGGACCTGGAGGTACACCCAAGGGAGTCCCACCCAGAAGGAAACCAGTCTGGGGCCCTGGAGGAAGGACAGGAAATGCTACTCACCGCAATCTCTGTTACTAAAATATCAGTTATACTTCCCAACACAGTGACAAAGTCAAAGACGTTCCAGGCATCTCTGAAATAGTTCTAGAGAGAAAAAAGAGCAGTTACTGCTGGAGGCTAGCAAGGCAGAAGCCAGGCGCAGAGCCGCAGGAAGTGTCCTCATCAAGAAAGGAGCAGAGGGACAGGTGGGCCACCCCAGGTGGGACACCACAGCTGGGTAAGCAAACACCTGTGGGTCTGGGCAGGTGCAGAACCGAAAGCTATACGTCGAGAGAGGAGGAACATGGCCCTGCCTGTCTCCAGGAGCTGGGCTGGGGCGGAGCTCAGGCAGCTGAGAGCACAGGAGCAGCCCCTTCCTCGGGGCCCTGGCAATGTCCCATTTGCTCTGGGGGCTCAGGGAATTCCCAGCTCCATGCTCCGAGGCCCTGAAGGGTCCCCTACAGAGAGGGAGCCAGAGTGCAGACCACCAAAAGGCCAAGAGGGAGCCAAGACACCTACCAGCACCCCAAAGGCGATGATCTTCAGCACGCATTCCATGGAGAACATGGACGTGAACACAATGTTCAGGCATTTCAGCATCAGCTCATACTCATATGGTGCATCATAGAACTGCGTGGGGAATGAGTGCCATCAGCCGCCGGTTCGGCTGCCCCCCGACAGCCCCACCTTGACCTCCTGCCAGAGCACAGAGAGCTGCGCACCAGCCTGCCCAAGGTAGGGACAGCCGTCCCTGCTCTCCCCGTGTTCTCCCAGGACACACTGTCTCAGCCCACAGAGAACCCTGGGCACGGGGCTAGAGTAGGCACCCCATGCTGCCCAGGATGTGATCAGCCGCGCCGGCGGCTCTCTCACACCCCAGCTATCCCCCACTGTCCCCCGTGCCAGGCCCACATACCTTCATCATGAGCACCACCGTGTTGAGAGCGATCATGGCCATGATGAAGTACTCAAAGGGAGGTGAGACCACAAATGTCCAGGTCTTGTACTGGAACGACTGCTTGTCCCTGGGCATGTACCGTGTCAGGGGCTTGGCGCTGATGGCGAAGTCGATGCAAGCCCTCTGCATGGGGAAGGGGCAGTGAGCACCCAGAGGGGGAAGAGGGACCCCCACACCGGAGCACCCAGAGCATCCCACCCATGTCTTCCACCCTCGCAGGCGGCCCAGGCCAGCCTCCTCCTTCTCTCCCCACCCCCTGTGCTGGCTGCCGGCTCTGCAGCAGTGAGTGAGCCCCACATGGAAGGGAAGTCCAGTGCTTCTGCCTCTGCTGCCCATCGGGGAACCAGCAGAGCATCCACGGCCCACATGCACATGAGGCAGAAGAGGGAGCCACCCACCTCGTTCTTTTCCAGGCTGCATTCAGACATCACCTTGTCCCCCTGCTCCTGAAAGGTGATGATGATCAAGGCCACGAAGATGTTGACGAAGAAGAAGGGGAAGACCACGAAGTAGACCACATAGAAGATGGACAGCTCCATGCGGTATCCAGGGCTGGGGCCCTGCTCCTCATAGGTGGCATCCACGGAGTGTTTCAGGACCCTGCACCAAGGGCAAACACCAAGTGTCAGGGGGACCCGAGGAACAGAGCCATGGGAAAGTCAAGACCTGTATGACAGGTGAGGCCTCCATACCGGAGCCCAGGGACAGCAAGAGGAAGGGGGTGCTCAACACTGTGGGCCCTAGCCCGCTCCCTAGGACTGCAGTCTCCTGAGGCAGACGACCTTCCCAATGGGCTTGTACTCGGGGCTGGTGGACAGCCATCAAGGGGCGGTCTCCGGGGCCCAGAGGTCCTAACCCCAGGACAGGTGGAGGTCCAGGAATTCTGCCCTGCCCTGCTGACTCCTGGCTCACACCTGCTCATGCCCAGCTCACCAGTTCATGCCCAGCTTCACCTGCCTTTAGAAAGCCCTGGGCTCCAGACACAGCACTGATCCCACCTTCTGAGTGGTGGTCCTCCCAGCCCCAAAGGGAGTCCCCTGTCATCCAGTCTGGCACAGAACACATACATCCCTCTGCCCACCCTTAACTGGGGCCAGAAGGGCAGGACAGGGAGATACGGAGTAGCCCATCCTCCCTCTGGCCTTCAACCATTCAGAAACGATTTTCAGGAGATCGCTGTGCTGTGCACCTTGTCTGGATCTCCTGCTCCTCCCACTCCTGGAGAGCAGAGCTGTGTCTGCCCCGGGAGGGGCAAACGGGGCATTTGCCGGGTGACTAAAACATGCCTGGACGCAGGGTGGGGACTCCCTGCCCGAGCTGCCCCTCTGCTCTCCCTGCTCTGCCACATGGAGCCAGTGAGCACTCACATGGGCCACCCTTCTCCCGTGGACACCGTGAACAGCGTCAGCAGAGCCCAGAGCACGTTGTCATAGTGAAAGTCGTATTTCTTCCACTGCCGCGGCTGGGCCTCCACCTCCTCCTTCTCGTAGTCCAGATACTGGCCCCTGGTGACGAAGACACACACGAGGTCAGAGCATAAAGACAGAGGATCCAAGTACACACGTTTGTCTACAGCCAGCTGATTTCTGGAAGGGCTGCCCGTCCAACGGAGGAAGAGCAGTCTTCTTCACAGAGAGCGCTGGGCAGCAGGGGCCGCTCGCAGAAGAAGGAAGCTGGACCCCACCTCCCTCCAGGTACAAGAGCAACGCAAAATGGACTGGAGACGTGCAGGTGAGAGCTAACACTAGAAAGCTGTGAGACGATGACACTGGGGGCCCGGAATGAGGGGAACGACTGTTAGACGGACGCCAACCCCAGAAGGAGGTAAAGCAGACGCCGTCAAAATGGAAAGCTTTGTGCTCCAGAGCCTCGTTGACACGGAATGGGACCAAATACTGGAAAATTGTTTCTCTGGTAAGAGTTGGATCTAGAGTATATAAAGAACAATCATAATCAATTACAAAAAAAAAAAAAGTGCCCCAATTAAAAAGATGGATGAGATATCTGAATCGGCATTTCTCCAAAGAAGGTATACCAACGTGCCATCAGCACACGGAAGACGTTCAACATCAGGAGTCATCCAGGAAATGCAAAAGAAAACCACAGTGAGATGCCACTTTATACCCAGGAGGAGAGCGATAATTAGTTTTTAAAAGGGAAAATAACAAGAACTGGCAAGGATGTGGAGAAATGAGGACTCTCCCCCACTGCTGCTGGGAATACAGACCAGGTCAGCCACGCTGGAGGAGCCCGATCCCCACGGACCCATCAAGTCCAGGGCAACGGGTCCACTCCAGAGAGATGAAAACATCCGTCCACACAAACACTTCACGGCAGCATCAGTTACACCAGCCAAAGGACGGAAACCACCCAGATGCCCGTCGACAGAGGACCAGGTAGACACGCTGGGCCACACCCGCAGCATGGAATAAAATCCAACCATAAACGGGAACAACGTTCGGACACACGTTACAGTGAGGGTGACCTCAAAAATGAAAGAAGTTAGACAAAAAAGACCACGTCGTTATGATTTCCTTTAGACGAACAAGGAAATCTGTAAAGACAAAAAAAAAGATTCACGGTTGCTGAGGGCTAGAGATGGAGAGCTGGTGGGTAATAAAGGACATGGGAGTTTTTGTGTTATTTTTAACTTATGAACATGTTCTACAATGGACTGTGGTGATGGTTGCCCATATCTGTAAGTGCATTAAAAAATCACTGAACTGTGTACTTTCAGGGGATGAATCATAGGAATCATACCTTAATAAAAACAAAGCGTATCACGGAATGGGGGAGAGGATGGGTCTTTGCAAATAAAGGTCTTTGGTGTCAAGCCAGCTGGGTATCCACCCACAGAAATCCGTCTGTATCCACACTCACCCAACACACCGACATCAACCCCAGAGAGATCCCAGATCCAAATGGGAAAGGCAAAAATAAAACTTGTAGAGGAAAACGTAAGAGGACTTCTCCCTGACCTTCAGGTAGATTTTCTGAACAGGACACAAAGACCATTAGATACAACAGAGATAAAGTGGACTATACTACAATCACAACTTTGTTTTCGGAAAAGACACGTTTTAAAAAGTTGAAACACCCCACAAAGGAGAAAAAGACAACCATAACCATAGATCTGACAAAGGATGGTGATCTAGGACCTTACAAAATTCCTACGAATCAGTTAGAAAGAGAGAGACAGCCCATACAGGACAAAAGGTGAAGCCACGCCCAGACCCTTCCTGGAGCACTGAGCAGTCCATCACCTGGGGAGGACCCAGCATCACTGGCTACCACACGAATCACACCACAGAGAAGGGCCACCAGCCCCACGTCAGAGAGGCTGAAGAGCACAAGACAGAAAGCCCGAGTGTGCCCCAGACGAGTCAGGAAGGCCTCCGACTGGAAACATCCCCCGTGCCCAGCAGGCACAGAGCGGCAGGCACGTGGTGACACGCTCGCACCAGAGAACACTGCGTGAACAGAGGCGACAGGGACCATCGCCTGCGGGGGGGAGAAGGAGCCGTCCCTGCTGCCTTGCTCAGCACCCACCCCAGTCCCTACCTCCCCTTCCCCTAGTTCCCCGAACCGAGCGCCCCTCTCCTGTTTCCTGTGGGGTGAGCCCAGGTCCAGAGAGGGCAGCCCCCTGATCCGAGAGCCTGGCCTGGAGCCCTCCGGCCACCGCAGCGGCCCCCGTGTGCTCCCTGATGTCCAAGGGCAGGAAGACCATGTCGCAGAGTGGCCGGACCCTGACTCTGCTGAGGAAGACGAGCCGGAAGTCCCCCATGCTGCCTTGGGGCAGAGGCACAGCTCTCAGTCGGCCCCCGAAGCCCCTCCCTAGCCCCGCCCAGCCTTGGCTCACCTGCAATCCCTCTCCAGCCCCTTGGACTCATCGGTGCAGTAGAAAAACTTGCCCTTGAAGAGCTGCACGGCGATGACGGCGAAGATGAACATGAACAGCATGTAGACGACCAGGATGTTGAGGACGTTCTTCAGCGAGTTCACCACACAGTCGAACACGGCCTGCAGGCGCGGGGGCCGGGCTCAGAGGCTCGGGGTCTCATCCGGACCCACAGAAGGACCCGCCACCCATCCCCCGACACAGCTGTTGCGTCTCCCGGGACTTGGGGGGGCAGGAGGCGTGAGACGGGGCCACACGGGCAGACGGCCCAGACGCTGGCGGGACACTCACGGGACAGGCCACCTGCATGAGGCCAGCCTAGAGCCCAAGTCAACCAGCGTCGGGAGGAGCCCACACGGCAGGAACGGGGTCGGGGTGGGGAGACGGCCAGCCCTCTGCTCCCGCGTCCGGGCCTGCCGGGGCGGGGGGTGGAACACCGTGCCCCTGCCCATCAGTTTGAGCCAGCACGGGGCGGAAAAGCCGCAGGGCTGTGGCCAGCTCCGACACGGGAACTTGAAGCGTGTTCTGGTGTAGCCCAGAGGTGACTGCCGTCTGTTAGCACCACCGCCAAGGCTTCTTCTCAGGATCTTCCCTGCCTGGAAGCTCAGCTGGCCCTGGACTGCCTGGCGGACCCTGAGCTGGTCCCTGTCCCTCAGAGCTGAGGGGACCCCCGGCAGCCCGGGCTGTGCAAAGAAGCAGGTGCACGATCATCTCCTGAGATGCCGCCTGGCACACTCCAACACCAGCGGCTGTCTCAGCACCTGCAGCCGCGGCCCTCTTGCCCAGGGGCCATGACACCTCTGAGCTGCCCGCCAGGTCTGAGTCCCCACCTGAGGCTGCCTTCAAGCCACCCCCAGCCCCCTCCCCCAAGCACACTGCCTTCTGTGATCCCCACGCTGCTTCAGGTCTGCGAGGCCTGCCTCTGCGTGCTGTGCAGGAGACGTCACTACACCATCTGGTGGATTTAACCGAGTGGGAAGTTTCGCAAGCACTCCTCACAGTGAGGGCCACGCTCAGTACATATCGTATTTTAGCACAACTCCAAGGGCTTGGGTTCACACTCTTTCCTTTCTCCAGGACGTCAGCCACGCCATCCTTGGGGCCCAGCCCAGGAACCACTTCTCAGGAACACCCGCCCTCCCTGCGTCTCCCTCAGGACCCTCTACCTCTCTCGACAGCCCCTTCTTCCTTTTTTTAAATTTAAGTGATTTAATTTAGTTAGAGAGAGAGAGAGGAAGGGCAGAGGGAAAGAAAGAATCCCGAGCAGACACCCCCCCCGAGCACGAAGACTGACTCAGGACTCGATCCCACAACTGTGAGATCATGACCTGAGCTGAAATCAGGAGCTGGACCCTGAACCACCCAGGCGGCCCGCAGCAGACCCTCCCCTTCCCTGTACAACAGCTGCTGGTGCTGCTGGGTCAAGGGAGAGGAGCCTTCCAGAACACTCCCGAGAGGAAGCTCTCCTCTAGGGACACGGAGCTGAGGGAGCCGGACCCACTTACGCAACATGGGATCTCCCTGAGCTCCACGCATCCCATCCCACGAGGGGGCCTGCAGCCAGACAGGGTGAGTTCTGTGGATACACGCACACCATGCGGCACACACCCACACGGCACACACAGGTGCACTCACACACGCGGCACACACCCACACAGCACACAAGGCAGTCACACGTGCACACCCGCATGCACAGACACACACACACGCACATACACGGCACACATACATGCACGCACAGCCCTACACGCACGTGACAGCCCTGCATACTGCCCAAGCCCAGGTCCAGGCTCTCACCTTGAGCTTGGGCAGCCGTTTGATGGTCTTGAGGGGCCGCAGGACGCGCAAGACTCTCAGGGACTTGATGGTGTTGATGTCTTTCCCTTTGGATCCTCTAGAAGGGAGAAGCCACACATGCGGACAGCAGGACGCACACCCGCGCTGCTCTCACGAAGCTGCCGGGAGGCGCTCCCCTGCGAATTCAGTCGTAGGCCCCAGGGAGGACAGCCTAGGAACAGGCAGGCCTCTGCCTGGCCAGCCCCACGGGCCACCGCACCCCTCCTGCGGGAGCACGAGCCAGGCCTCGTCTGAGCAGACCAAGGCCAGGCCCAGGGCAGCAGCACCTGGTATACGGGGAAAGCCGGGCTTCTGGGTGGAAAGAACCCATTCTCACAGACCACATCTGCCATCTCCATGCCAGGGGTCCCCCAACGCCCACCCAAACCGGCTTCATCCGGCCACCATGTTGACACCAACCATGGGGCTAAAGAGAAGAGAAGGGAGCTGGCCCCGGGACTGCAGACCTGGCTCAGAAGCCTACAAGCCATTAGGGCAAGAGCCTTCCGGAAGGGCTGGTCTCTCTTGCTTTTCAGTCCGGGTAGAGGGAGGTGAGGGGAATGTGACTGGGTCTCCCTGCCTGTCCTCACTCAGCTGCTCCCACACTCCTCCAGATGATGGAGAACTGCCCGGGAGGGAGAGGAGGAGAAGGAATACAGGCGAGCAGGAAGCGGAGGCGTGAAGGAGGGAGGCAAACGCTAGAGAGTACCGGGCAGCGGAAGGGACGGCGCCACGCAAGGGTAGACAAAAGAAGAAAGAAAGAAAGACCAAAGGAAAGAGAAAAACAGAGAGGAAGGGAAGGAGGAGGAAAGAGCCCACAGAGAGACCAAGAGAGCAGCAGACAAGAAAACCCAGTGTGGGGGAGTAAGACAGAGAGTCAGGAAAAGAAAATTCCAGGTACCCGACGCAAGCCTGGAGATCCAGGACCAGTAGGCCCAGATCGGGGCCACACCCAAAGGAAGCTGGGGCAGCCCCAGCTGGCTCCCTCAAGCTGCCAGGGGCCCAGCTGTTGTCAGACTCTGGGTGCAGCCTTCTCGCCAACCCAAAGCCAGGGCAGAGAGCGGGGGTGGGGGGTGATCCCCTGAGCGAACTTCTTGCTGCCTTAAGGAGGCAATTCTTAGAAGCAAGGCCACAATCCCCCCTCAGCAGTGGCTGAGGACTCAGGACTGGGGGTCCTAGTCCACCCTGCTCAGAGGTCACCTACCTCCAAGTTCCCAAGGAGCCTGTGCATGGGGAGAGGGGGCAGGGCCTCCAGTGGTCTTCTCTGGGCTCTTGCTAAGCTCTAGGGAAAGGCAGCCATGAGGCTCAGGTGGGGCCAGTGGGTTAAGGAGAGCTGGGGAGCCCTAGTCCCTTATATCTGCCCCAAGACCCAGCCAGGGCCTACATCCCCAAGCCAGGTCAAACTCCCTCTGAAGCCGCCAACCTCCAGACACTGCATCAGGTGTTCCCGTCACCCCAGCATTCCGGACACCCGCCCCCAGGCCAGGTTCCTCCAGAGGCCCTGCAGACCAGTCCCAAGAGAATAGGGGCAGGGTGGGCCGGCAGACCCCTGGCAGATACAGAAGGGAGGGTCACTGCTTTCCTCTCCTGGGAGAGGGCTCTCTGCAGGGACAGGCCTCAAGGTGGTCCGTGTTCTGTGTGTCCAGAGGCCTCACTTCTCGCTTGCTAGCTCAGAGCTCTCTCTCACTCTGAGCCCGCCCGGCTGGACTGTACCCCTTCCCTGTCTTACTCCTAAGCCCCTCGCTGACACTTTATATACAAAGAAACCCGGTTATGACCCCCACAGTAGATGCTGTGCATTGCCGGGAGGCAGTCGTGGGGAACAGAGAGAAGAAAGCAAGCCCCACTGCCGGAGAAGACACATGAGAAGTTTCGTCAGGACGGCCAACATCCTGGCAGTCATGGGGACAGCAGCTCCCACCCAGGCCCTCACTGCCCTCAGGGCCCACATTCCCGGCCTCCAACACTCACTTGGGGTGCCCTGCTCACCAAGGGCTGGCCTTGCCCCAGCCCCAGCCCCAGCCCCAGCCCCCAGCCCAGTCCCCAGAGGTGAGGCAGCGACCCATGGCCTGGGGACATGGCTCCCGGTAGCATGCACTCTGGACAGTGGAGGGTGAGCAGAGGTGAGATATGGCAGTGAACCGGCCCAGAAGGGCCACACTGTGCTATGATGTGAGGCAGAGGGAAGGCATTACCCCACGAAGCTCCTACCGAGAGTCCAGCAACAAAGAGACAAAGAGAAGAGAGTCAGTGAGGAGGCGCCGCCATCCCCGAGTGCTCAGAGAAGATGCAGATATCGTCCCTCGGGTCTTCCTGATCTCTGGGTCTCCCCTGTAGCTCCACCCCAGCCCCCACACATGCCCCACACCCACCACCATGCAGGGTCTGAGGGAGTCGATCCAGGCCCAGCCACAAGGGAGCTGAGTGTTGCCCACTAGGGAGTCAGAGAAACCGGGGGTCTAACAATGCTGGGGGAAGGTGCCCACCAGCGGCCGCCAGCTCCAGCTTTCCAGGTGGCACAGCCGAGGTCAGGGCAGGTGAGTGGTTCTCAAAGACCTAAGAGGCAAGCACCAGGGGAACCGGAGGCCTGCCCACCCAGTGTCAGAACCACAGGCCGTGGCAGGGACAGGTAACCATGAGAAGCTTTCAACCCCACACAGCCCAGTCCCAGGTAGACAGGAGAGGAGCTGCACACAGCCCATGGAGGCCAGTGGGGGCCCCCTTCTGCCTGAACTGCACACCCACCATAGCCCTGGGATGGCAGCCCAGCCAGACCCAGGGCAGATATGGTACTTACGAGAAGGCAAATGCCACCAGGGCCCCACTGACCACGATGAAGTCCAGAATATTCCACAGGTCCCGGAAGTAGGCCCCAGGGTGCAGCAGAAGTCCCAAATCAATCATCTGCAGGGGAGAAACACATATTAGGCGCTGAATATTTCAGAAAGCAAAGCAGGGCCAGGCCCCAGACTCATGGGGTTGGGGGGAAGGATGCCACACCGGTCATGTCTTCTAAGGGCCTCAGCAGGGCCTCTGAACCTCAACACCATTGATCCAAATATCCCTACATGGTCACGGCTGGCTGAGATCTTGCCTGGGCTCCCCACCCCCTGGTGACACCCTCCCCTTGCCGGGCTGGAGTCACCCCCCACCCCAGGAAGCCCACACCCTGCCCAGGCCCGCAGGGGTCAGCTCTCTGCCGCAGGAGCAAGAGCTGGTGGGGTTCGCAAGGACCTGGCTCTGCCAGTCCCACAGCTGCAACTTCTGGCCAGCACCCCCATGTCTCCAAGCACCAGCTTCCATGTCTATAAAACGGGACAACAAAGAATGTGCCTCCCCCATGAGTCTGCAGGAGGAAGAGACGAAGCGGAGCTCACGCACAGACAGACAGACACATGCACCAGTCACCAAGCCGCGGGCACAACCTAAGCGGCCCTGTGGGCAAAGACTGCACACATGCGTGCACACACACGCACAGCCACTTGTCAGACGCAGAGGAAGGAGCAAAGCCCATCAGGACTCAAGGCGCAGAACTGAGCGCGGTGAAGAGCTGTGTCCGTCACCTCACAGGATGCACAAATGCTCTGAGCACACGTCCTCGGCACCCACTCAGCCCTCCCTCCTCCCAGCCTGACGTCACGAGACCGGCCCAAGGGGAACACGTTCCCGGGAGCCTGGAGGCCTGGCTGGCGAGTGGCAGAGCCAGGAGTGGCCCCCGGGGGCTCCCCCAGAGTGGGTGTGCATCTGGTGAATTGGCCTCTGCCCCCCGCCACACCCATGAGCAGGCCCACGTGCACGGGTTCTCTCACGAGCACACACCCAGGGCACAGCCAGCACACGACCCGTGAGCAGCCCCAGCCCAGCCGGCCCATCATGAGAGAAGACAAGCGAAGCCCTGGGCCACCAGGGAGCCACTCATCTCACCTTTATCACCATCTCAAAGGTGAAGACGCCTGTGAAGATGTAGTCCATGTACTTGAGAGCCTAGAACCACAGGAGGGCCTGTCAAAGGCCGGCCCCGACTGTCACCCCCGTGCCCCCAGAACAAGCAGACGGGACCCGGCCCAGCCCCCTCCAGCCCGAGGGCCGCGCTCACATTGTTCCTGGGGGAGTCCGTCCGCACTGGGTCCTCAGCGGCCAGGGCGATGCTGCTCAGGGCAATGACCACAAGGATGACCATCTCAAAGTAGCGCATGGTCACGATGGAGTGGCAGAAGCGGCGAAGCCTGCAGGCAGAGCACGGACCCCAAGGCCCCGATGAGTGGGACCGATCCCTCCCCAGGCCACACACCCAGCCTCTTCCTGCGCGCCGCGCCACCCCAGACCCGGGTTCTGCTATGTCCCCGCAGGTGGCAGACAGTGGCCAGGCACCTCCTGGTGCCTCCGAGTCCTGAGGGGCATCCTGGGAAGAGGGCCAGGAAGGCTGCGGGAACCCACAGCAGAGCCGGCACACGAGGGATGAGGGCTCGAAGACTCCCCCGCACAGTCCCCTGTTGTGTGTGGACGGCCGCACCCTCCACAGATTTACAGAGATTTACAGAGGTGGTGGGGGCGGTGCTCTGCTCAGAGAGGACAAGGCTGGACCCCAGCCTCCTGTGCACAGCGGGCCTCTCTGGAGAGTGCAGGACCATTTTCTAGGTCCGTGCTGGCCCGTGCTCATCCCCCCAGGGCTGCGGGGTCCCCCCCAGGGCTGTGGGGTCGCCTGCCTCCGTGCAGCACCACGGGCATTACTGACCACGACTCTGCTCTGTTAGGCACATGCTGGACCCTGGGGCCTGGTGCTGCACAGGAGTGTGGCCAGACACCAACGGGAGACTCTGAGATGCTGACAAAGCCTACGACATGGCAGCAGGCAGTGACCAGGAGCTCTGGAAAGACCCCTCGGTGGGGAGGAAGGGGGGCAGCGAAGCCAGTCCCAGGGGACAGGGAGGAGCAGCCACAGAACCAGTGCCCGGGGGAGGCAGGGACAGACCCGTGTCTCACCTCTGCAGCCCGGCCCCCTCTCTCACCACCACTTCCTATTCTTAGGGCCATAGGTCTGCAGGGACCTTCCACCTCCCAGCCACACCCACCCACTCTCTCCCTGCCTTGAAGGAGCTCCTGTGCTCCCCTCTTCACAGTGACCACTGCCATACTCTGGCCTCCCCACCAAGCAGAGCCTCTGGTGACCTCCTGCCACGCCATCCTCTGTGCACACACACCTCTCCTCCCTTCTCCGGGACACTCTGTCTCTGCCTCTTCCATCCTGCGTCTCAGGACTGAATATCCCCCTCAGCTCTCCCCCACGCACATGCCCGGAGTCCACCCGGCTCCCAATCCCCAGCAGAGACATGACGCGGACTGTCCCTGCTTTCACAGGCCCCACCCGGCCTGCCCCCAGCTCAGGGCGGGGGAGGGGGGGCAGCCAGCATGCAGAAACTCTGGGGGTCATCCCTGACCTCTCCTTCCCTCTCCCCATATAATTTATCAAGTTCCACAGATTCTCTCCAAAATGTCTTCCCAAGCGTTTCACCCCCAAACTCCCCACACGACCTCCATCATCTCCTCCTGAAGACCTGGCCTGCCCGCGGAGCTCTGTGCAGGGCTCTGTGGAAGCCCAGGCTGGCCCTGTCCCCACCGACCCCCCATCGCCTGCCACCACCCATTCCTCCGGCACACGTCTGTGCTCGCAGGCAGGACCGTGCTCCCTAGCAGAGCCCAGTGAGCTTCCAGGACATGGGTGCCGAGGGAAAGCACAAGACAGGGAGGGAGGGTGGGTGGTGGAGGCTGGGCAGAGAGAAGGCATGTGTGGAGGGGTGGGGCTGGAGGGCACAGCCAGACTCTATCAAACCCTCTGCCCTCAGGACCCCTGCTGCCTCGCACCTTTGCTCTATCGCCTCTGCCGGGGACGGTCTCCCTGCCCTTCCTCACCCACCTCACCTCCTACTGACACCCAACCTGACCTTCCCACCCTAACATCAGTTCCCTCCACAGCTCTGGGCTGCCTCCTAGTACCTCCCACCCTGTGAGGTCTTAGGTGCCCTCTGATTCGTCTGGTTTGCTGTCTGTCTCTCCTACCTACACAGAAGCTTGTCAAGGACGGGGTCCTTGTCCATTCTGCTCATTCCCCTGTTCTCCCAGCACCTAACCTGCCTTAGGTAAGTACTGGGTGACCTACGGCACCAGTGGGACTGATGAGGGGATGAGAAATGCTGGCGACTTCATGATAAACAAAGCGGAGAAACACAGGCGGACAAGTGAGTGGACATCCTGGACAAACGCAGGCGTGCATGCACAGTGGGCACAACAGAAGGTGGACACACGAGGGACATAAATGGGACACGTGCGTGGCAATGAGCAGTCCCAGCAGCGGGGATGGCAGCTCTGCGGCTGACCGGGTTCAAGCCCCAGCCCTACCACTGGGGCTCACTCCTGTGCATCTGTGGACGGGCCTGGGCCCTTCCTGTGGCTCTCCGTCCTCATCTGTGGGGTGACTGCAGATTGCTGGGGTGATCAGGACTCTAGTACATGTAAAGTGCATGGAATCCACGCACACCAGGCCACGTCCAGCACACGCTGCTACCGTGCATGTGGACCACGGACACGGGACAGGCACGCGGCATGGGCACACAGGAGACTCACAGGTTGGTGGGGCTTAAACAGAACATGGAGCTGTACGGCACGATGGGTCGGGGGCCACTCCGCACCACACCGTCAGCCTCCGCCTCCTTCTTCCCCTCGGCTTGGCTTTCCAGGTCCACGTTACCACCTACAAGGACACAGGGCCACCCAGTTAGAGACGTGGTGCCTGCAAAGCTGGCATCACATGGCCTCACCCGCACAGCAGACAGGTTCCAGCCCCAACCCCACTGGCCTCCAGGGACCCAGCCAGGGAACAGCGTGTGCCTAAGACCCCACTTCACAGGAGACTCCCTCCAACATCGGCTGAGGACGGAGCCAGCACCGGGTGCCCTTCTTCCCCTCCCCCTGCATGAGGGTCAGGGTGGGAGCAGCACCGAGCCCTGGGCCCCTAGCTGTGGGCACCTCTGCCCCCAGTAGAGACCACTGGTCTAGATGTTCTATGAACACCAAAGTCCCCCTCGGCACCTAAGACCAGGGCCATCAGGCTCTGCTCACTGGGTTCAGGGCTCAGTGCCTCCTGAAGAAAAGGCGGCACGTGTCTGTGTGGTGAGAAAACCCCGCAGGGTTCTCGGGCCAGCAGGACAGGGAGGAGCAGGGGCCTGCCCTGGACCACAGATACTCCTCTGAACCCAGGAGTCCAGGCGGACCCAGCCTGGGACCCTGGCAAAGGCCTACAGAGCCAGGACAGTGGCCCAGGGAGGACTTCAGCAGAGCCACATTTCACAGGGGCCCCCCGCTCGGCCCCTCACCGCTTGCTGCCCTGCCCCTCAGTTCCATCCTTTGCTTTCCCACCACTCAAACTACCCAGGGTTAAAATGCCCTGTTAAGTGGATTCTCTTAGGTAGATTCCTGCTCCTGTTAAGTGGATTCTGGTGTCTGTGCGTCGTGCTTTTTCTCCCACTGACTTTTCATTTCTCACTATCCCAAGGTGCATTTCTGTTCTTGTGGGTAACGGAGTTTCTGAGACCACAGGGGTGCCCTAAGACGGGGCAGTGACTTGGAGCCAAGGCCCAGGACTGGACCTCACATGGCGTCTCACGAGAAAAGGGATGTTAGAAGGCAGTGGAGAGGAGGGTACGGCCGCCAGTCCCAGGGAGGACGGCTGGGCCCGAGGAAAGGTCCTGGGCACGCGTGGAAGAGCTCAGGGCAGCAGCTCCCCGCTGATGTCATTACAGAATCTTCCAGAAAGCCATTTGGCAAAGAAGTCCTAAAGAATTCTACTCACTGATTTAATCTGTAACCTGCATTTGCAAAGGTGTTTGTTGTCAGTTCTTCTACAGTAACAAAAAACTATAAAATGCACAATCGCAGGAAAAAGACTAAGTATGCAATATTCACATGATTTGCCATACTACAGATATTTAAAATGCCTACAGATACTTTCAATGACAAAAGAAGCTTACGATATTGTAAGTTAAAAAAAAAAAGGTTGCATAGTTGTATATCCCGGATGACTCAACTCCAAAACAGTAATACATGTGGGGAGGGAAGCAACACCGAAACAGTACTAATTGTGCTGATCACTCAATAGTGGACAGGAATTTTAATTCTCTTCACAACATTTTTAACATTTAAAAAATTTATTTTCATGATGAGCATGCATTACTTTTAAATTAAGAAAAATGTATTATCTTAAAACCATAGCTTTTCTCTTCAGACTCCTCAATAACAATAAGGCTGGACCAATGTGGACGCAATGAAGAGTTCTGCTGCACAAGATAAGTGGGACAAAGATGCCAGAAACTGGATGGAAATACTCCTCCTGAAAGAGATTTACAGCAACAACAAATGTGATCAACTAAGTCAAAGCAGACCAAAAAAACAGGAGAGGATCAAAAGGGAACTGCAGCCGACTAAGTAAGTTCATTGTTAGAAGCAAGTCACTAAAAAATGACCAAGCAAACCAACGAACAAGACTTGACCATAACGAAAATTAAATCCTAAAACGGGACAGTCCACCCAGCAAAATGGCCAGCTGCAGAGCGGGGACGAGAGAACATTCACTAGCAACAGCCACATGCTGGACGTGGTCCAAGGGCTTCGTGCGTCCTCACAGCACTCACCGGCTCCCACTGTCATCGATGCGTTCTAGATTTGAGCTGAGACATCACTGTGTGGGGACATGATCTGCCAAGGCTGGGATGAGGGCCCTGAGCCCTGGGCTTGCAACAAGATGGGAGATCCAGGCGGGGTCACACTGACCTACTCTCCTCCAAGGGGCTAAATTGAGCCCAGGCCGGTGGTGCCTTGGGCCTCTGGGAAAGCAAAGGTCATGACAAAAGCATCCTTCATCTGGCCCCACAGACTGGGCAACCCAGCTCAACTTGAAGAGAATTTCAGCCCTCCAGACCTCCATGCTCTGGAAAGAATTTCTCTCCTATACATTCAGAAGGGCGCTAGCTGTACACCACCCTTGGGAGAACTGAAAAAGGAGTCAATCAATTCATTTTCTACAGGCCTTCATTATCTCACAAAAGTCCAGCCAAGAAATAGCAGAGTAAGGTCAGTCACATACGAACTCAAAATAAAAACCATCACCAAACAGACCAGGGAGCAAGGTCCCCAGGAATGAAAGACAGCAGAAATAAGTAATAGGTTACCCCCCCACCCCGGCTTCAGATGCAAGAGTTTAAAAAAAAGTTAGATGAAGAATATAAAGTATGTAAATATAAATATGTAAATAAATAAAAAACGAATCTTAAAGAAATGAGTGAACAATAAATGTCTATAAAATTAACCCAGCATTTCCATGACCTGTGCAGAGAAACTTAAAATGCACTCATCCTCCCACTGAAAACAACCAAAACACTGAACAAAACACATAATGTAACTGTCTTAAAGGCCCTGGGAACAAACCAGCTTGGACAGAAGCCAAGAAGCTACAATCCCCGGGAGAAGAGAAGCACAGAGGTGACCCCAAATTACCCCCAGCTTTCCCCCTAAGGCTATGTACCTACTTGCAGTGTGAGGGAACAGCCCAGTAGAAAGCGACACTCTTACAAGGAGAAAGAAACAAAGACTGGTGTTTGGGAATGATGAAGTATCTGGGAATGAGGGGCAAAATCCCAGAGTGGGATGTCAGGCAGACGAGACGTGAGTCCCAATCACTCCCCCCGCCCCGCACACTGCGGCTCGTGCGAGAGGAGGCCTGTCTCCACTAGAGACAAACGCCCTCCAGGAAGCTCATGTCAGGGACGACAGCAAGGCTGAAGGCTAGATGCTCTGTCAGTGCCGACAAAGGTAACTTCGCGGGCACGCGGCTCTACTGGGGCTGCTCCGGTTGGTGTCGGGTGCTCGTTACAGAGCTGCACGGTGTGGGATCCCTGCCCTTTACCCTGACTTTCCGACAAGGCCTATTCTCTCCAGTGCACGGCACTTTCAGGAATGCACATAGCATGTTGTAGCAGGAAGGTCTGCAGTTAAGAAAGACAGAAAATGGTATTTATCAAAAACACAAGAAATAATAAGCGTTGGGAGGGTGTGGAGAGAAAGGAGACCTCGAGCACTGCTGGTGGGAATGCAAACTGGTGCAGCCATGGTGGAAAACGGTCGGAGGCTCCTCAAAAAAAAAAACCGAAAAACAGAATTACCACATGATCAGTGATTCCACTACTGAGTACTTACCCAAAGAATAGGAAAACACTCCTCAGAAAGCTACAGGCTCTGCTGTGTTCATGGCAGCAGCATTTACAACAGCCAAGTGTGGAAGCAGCCCAAGGGTGCAGAGACAGGTGAGTGGATAAAGATGTGGGACACACACGACAGAACGTCGCTCGGTACTGAAAAGAATGAAATCTCGCCCCTGGCAACAATACAGACAGATCTGGGGAATATTAGGCTAAACGAGGTAAGTAAATGCAAGAAAGACAGATACCATATGACTTCACTCACATGTGGATTTAAGAAACAAAACATTTGAACAAATGAAAAAGAGACAAACAGGGCCGCCTGGGTGGCTCAGTGGGTTTTAAGCCTCTGCCTTCGGCTCAGGTCATTGTCTCAGGGTCCTGGGATCGAGCCCCGCATCGGGCTCTCTGCTCTGCGGGGAGCCTGCTTCCCCCTCTCTCTCTGCCTGCCTCTGCCTGCTTGTGATCTCTCTCTCGGTCAAATAAATAAATCTTTAAAAAATAAAAAATAAAAAGAGACAAACAAAAAAATGGGCACTTATATACAGAGTAAAAACCGGTGGCTGTCAAAGAGGAGGTAGTAGGGGAGACGCGTGAAATAGGGGAAGGAGCTCCAGAGTCCACTAACCATGATGAACACTGGGTGATAGAGAGAACTGCTGACTCGGGGTGTCCGGGGGCTCGGGCGGTGAAGCATCTGGGATCGAACCCCGGGTCAGGCTCCCTCCCTACTCGGCGGGGAGTCTGCTTCTCCCTCTGCCTCTGCTCTCCCCCACCCCCACCATGCTCTCTCTCTTTCCTCTCAGATAAATAAAAACAAAAAAAGAATTGCTGAGTCACTGTATTGTAAACCTGAAGCTAATATAACACTATTAATTATACTTCAATGAAAAAAGAATAAAAATGATATAAAGAAAGATCTAAGATGCAACATAAAAAGGAAAGCCAAGAAACGGATGGATCTAAAGAAACGTGATCTCTGTAAAGTCAAAACAATAATAACATCCACTTTTTAATATTAGGAAAAAGATAAAGCGTTGTCCCACAAAGGACGACCGTAACAAGGAAGCTGGGAGAAGCATGATTGCAGCTGCCACTCGGGTCCCAGCATCGCCCAAGGGAGCTTAGAGCGAACCCGACGACAGACTTGGTGACACACGCGCAGCCGCCATGACAGGGAACACTGAGAGAAAAGAAACCGAAACAGAGTTCGTAGCTTTTAAACTAGCAGAGGGGAAAATGTGATACATAAGCAAATAAGTGACCAATTTCTAGTATTCCTAAAAGGAGTGGAAAGAAGAAAAAAGCCCAGGAGAAATGGAACGAATGCCGCACTCTGAAGCGGATGAAGCAATAAAAAGGTCGAAAGAGACCAGCGAAGCGAGCCCGAGTGACCCCACACCGTCACACGCGCGGCCCGGCTCCGGCTCTGGCCACCGGCTGCGCACTTCAAACCCCCAGTTCTAGGCAGTGTCCCCGAAACACGCCCAAAATGTAAGGC